CGGGATGTTTTCGGCGTCAATGGCTGCCCGAAAAGAATCTCTGGTTATTGAATACAAGCTGTATCATATGATGTTGTATAAGATTCACCGGTTCAATACGGCTTGATGAAATTATAAGTTGGGATTGGGGGCAATCCACCAATCGGTACTGGAATAACGACATCAACCAGTCGAGGGGGACGACTATCAAGTCTGAGGGCTATTGATCATCGGGAAGCCGCTGAATCAGCTTGGTTTGTTGATTTGTTAATTAGCTGGGTCGATATTCGCCAGGTTACCAGGTTGGCATTTCATTACGAAAAGTTGCACAGCGCCAAATATCCCGATATCCCCCATTGTGGAACACAGCCAAAGCCCCAGTTTTTCGCTAGTTTCAGGTCCTAAAATGTCCCAAGAATCAGGGTCTTCCGGATTTCTTCCTGAAACCTACCCAGTGATCCCTTGTGGCCACCCGTTAAACCCCCAGAAACTATAGATATATCTACCATAAACCTTGTCATAGTTATTTTAGTTGGAAACCAACTGACCTATCTCGGGGGCCCCACTTTGGAGAGACATCCCAGTGCCGGCAGGAACGTGCGCGTGCGCGACAATGGGCCAAGCACTTGGGAGTCAGCGAAGCCTCCCATGACTCGCAGGAACAGGTGGGTGCCATGGGTGTTGCCAGCTGGCCAGCTGACCTCGGGGGCAGTACTACAGAGTGGGGCCTCGAAGATAGGTAACTTGGTGAACATACGGTGGATGGAAGAAATCTGCACCAGCTGGTAGATGGTTTATCTCCTTATAATTTATATTCCCATTATTTACAGTGTTTCATAGTTACTAACAGTTACCAACTGGTGGAGGATTTTCTTCCATCCACAGTAACTCCAATAAAGTATGGATTATAGTACTTATACTATAGTTAATGCGGAATTATAGTACTTAAAACTATAGTTATATAATGGTGTTTTTAAACCAACTCCTAACTGGAGGGCCCCCGCCTTGTGCCAGAATTGTACGAGAAAATACCCGAAAAAGGATGTGGGTACAGTGACACTAAACAAATTTGGAGGAAGAAGATTGGTGTTGGCCTGTGTTGTTTTGTAACTGCTATCACATGGTTGGCACAATCAAGCATGTCACATACGATTCTTGTCGATAGATTCTTCATTTATGTTAGTTTCCAATGTTTTTGATGGTTTTTGTGCTTCAATGATGTTTATTAGTTTCACAAGTGTTTGCTTGATTCACCCCTCTATGAACAATCATTAAAGATTCATTAAACACATCTCCATGACTTTTGTGGATACATCCCATTTTCAGACACGGATCCCACAGGCGCCACCAGAGCCAGCAGCAGCTGCGCCTGCTGCGCCTGCTGCGCCTGCTGCGCCTGCGCCGACAATTCCGCAGTGGCCCTGGCCCGGGGCCCAGCGGGATGGGTGGAATGACGGGTGGAGAGGGAGGTGAAAATGGGCAAAAAGTGATTTCTGATGGCAGAGAGTTGGTTTAGAACTCCCATAGCTGATAAATGCTGATCATATTTGTTGGGCCGCCATGGTAGCTAGATCATGATATCTATATATATATAGTATACTGTATACTGGTGGTGTAGAAATGTGCATATGAATAAAGCAGCGCGGCCATAGGGGGTGTCTCTGCCTCTGCTGATCACGTCATGCGACAGCGCCCAAGTGTGATTTTTTGTTGTTTGTATGCTTACAGTATCTTTCAGTAATCCCTCAAAAAAGTCAGTCTAGAGTATAGAGTATAGACTATGTTCACTATTTGAATGAGAATTTACTTAGGGTTTATACAATTACTTTTCTATCCTTTTGGGTGTAACTATATGTGTATGGTGGCTCATATGATCCCTGGCTACAACAAATCTTATTCTTTTGCACAGCTGATTTTCCAGCTTCATGGCCAAGCACATTGGATTTAGCCTACCAAGCTTTATTGATTGTCTATTGAGTCTACCCTCTGGTAAACTAACGTAACTATGGAAAATCACCATTTTCACTGGGTAAATCCACTATTTCTATGGCCATGTTCAATAGCTTTTTGTATGTTTACCAGAGTCTAATAATGTGGATTGTTGATGTTTCTTGGAGTTGTATGAATGGAACATAATGTCAATGGGAATTTCAGGAACCTAAAATGTAGGTACCTACCATATATAAGGCCTATATAAGGCCTATGTAAGGGAATATCACCACAAAATATGATAAAATAAGGCCTTATATGGTACAGTACCTCCATTTTAGGATCCTGAAATTCCCATTGATAATGGAACATAGTTGGATTACTAGCTGATTGCTGATTGCTATATTCCCGTGATCCTTTTGTTGGTCAGGGTGAGCCCCCGCTTCTTTGGCGCGGACAGCGATGATGAAGGCCAGAGAACTGGCTGCTACCGCCATGGGTTTGTCTGAAAATAAGGTAGCCATTAAAAGATCACATGGTTGTTTTGATTTGTTTTGGTTCTTGTCCAACTTTTAGTTGTTTCTTCAATTTTTGGGTTCAACTTCCATTTTTGGACAACCGTTTCTGTTTTGGCATGGGTTGAAGCCACGAAGCAGAAGGGTTGGCGTCGCCAAAAACGGTCGATGTACCCCAAGTAATCACCGCTGTCCATAGGAAATGGTGATTCGTCGCAAGGATTTCAGGGTTTTTTTAGTTGCGCTGTTGGTGGTACCTTAGTGCCTGTATTCCTGTCATGGTCATTCTTTCGTTCTAGTTCAAACATCTTCAAAGGATTTCAAAGGAATGTTCAAATCCCTGCGCCCAGTTGGGTTTGTCATGGTTTGTCTGATAATTACCACCAGTAAATTAACATAGACCCTGCCAGATAGGGATTGGAAGATTAGTTTCCATTAAAAATTGATGATTTTCAGGGTCTATGTTTATTTACCAGAGGGTATTACAATGTATTATATATATAATAGGAATTAATAGGATACGATGGATACCCCGGTACCCCCTTCCATCTGATCCCATAAGAATTGACATCTGAATTGGGGTTTAGTTCATTTTTTTAGACAAATTCAACTCACATCCCATTTAGTGGCGGTTACCGTAACTCGCCTTGATACTTGATAGTTCTCTTTGTGTGTTTCACTGGTACATCCAAACTTATCGAAATTGGTTGATAAGTTGGTAGCCTATGTCCAGATAATCCTTAAATCCAAACAATGGAATTGTCCCATCGATTTGTCCATATGGGTATGGGTCAATACCTATTAATACAATTTTTAGTGGGATGAACATCCATTTACCAGCTATTTTGGGGTTCACTAGGTACCAGGGTTTTGACCCATCCCCATATGTGTCCCATCGTTTTTCCCATCGATTTGTTCATTGACAAACTACGCCATCCCAGTCGATCCCAGTCGATCGAGGTTCATCGGCCCCTGGAGCTCCAGCTTCGGTGCGAAGCCAGTCGCAACAGACCTTGCGCAGGCGGCGGAACGAGACGACCTGGGACGACCTGGGGGCTGATGGAAGGTCGAAATGGAAAACTTACGTGTTTTTATGGTGTTGTAACTTGTAACCATGGATGGAGGTACATATTATCATATATATATATATCATATATATATATATATATATATATGTACATTATATATATATATACATAGGAATGGATCGGAATATGAATTTCGCATCATGCCATATTCTGAGGTGGTTACGACCGGTGGTCTCGTCAGATGTTCGACAGCTGTTTTGCCAGGCTCATGGAGTTGCAAAGGCCTGGTTCTGGGGTCCTCGGCTTCCGGCCTCACGAAATCAGCACAGTTTGTATGCTATGATGAGCCCTTACGAAAGGGTACGGATCAGGCACCTTACGGACGCACTCCCGCACTCCCGATCCATAGTACCGATCCATAGTACGGATCACCGCGGAGCGATCCATACCCGATTTTTGACTTGTACCCATATATATATATACATACACACACATACAGTATTAGTTTATATATATATATTATATTAAATAGTTCATATCCAGATATATAGCATAGCCTTCTGGCAATCCAACATGATGGCAAGGGACTCCCACCGTTTGCAGGTGCTTGCCTTTTACAAGCATTCACAAAATATTGATTTCCCATGTTTTGTGGCTAGCGCGGTAATGTGAACCCAAGTAAGTTGTTGTTTTATCAGGTGGGTTAACATATGATATAGTCTAAAATGAAACCCTCTACGAGTAATCTGGCGAATTACTAATCCTGGGATGAAATCACCAAACCTGGCTGTGAACCTGGCAGGACACTTCAAACGTCGGGCCCCGAGGGGCCGAGTGGAGAAGGAACTTTGATCTCACATGAGGATGGATCAAAATCTATGCACCATAGGAAGGATGAATCTCCATAAATCTATGCTATTTTGGTGTGTGCTGTTCGGATTCCATTGCTTTTGATACTTAAACAAATCCCACACTCGTTTGGAACGCATGATGTCAAAAACACCTTATGACATGTTCATCAGGATACGGTAGTGCAGAATCGCCCTACATTCTGACCAATGTTTTACTGTAAGATGTCCACTAAACTTGTTATTTTAAGGTTCAGTATCCCCTCGTTCCAAGACAAGCCAAGGGCATAGTTTTGAAAGTAGTTAATCAGTCCCTTATAACTTATATAAAAATAGCTGGCAGTTGGGTTGTAACGCCTTGTAAGTGAGATAGATTAAGTGTGACAGGGTCGGACATAACCTAGTTGCACTCCATTTGTTCCACGGAGAATCCCAGACATCACCAACCACTTCACTCGTCTTACTGCAGTTTTTGGCATGTGTTGGCTCAATGTGAGAGACACTTAAAGTCGGAAACCTTTGATATACAGAAAATATTTAGGGGTCAGAGATTGAAAGACAAACTCTTCCCTACAAGTTTGATAGGGGGTTGTTCAAAAAACTGTTGGAGGCATGACCATGTCAAATATGATTATGTATTCTAAGTGAATGGATTTCAGCTATTACCAAAGATTTGTGTGGCGTTCTTGCCCCTTTCGCACCAAACATCGGCTCACGTCCTGATCTCAACCATATGGTGCGGAAGCTTACACAGCCGCCATGGGACACTGCGTGGTGATTTGTGCAGCGCTCCTGTCTTCGTTGGGTGCGTTTCTCTTTGGTGTCTTGCCGAATTCAGCGCGCCACTTCATGGTGAGATTGACCCGTTGATTGGGGTTATTGTTCAGGTGGTTTGGAGGTGTAAGGAGTACAAGCCAATGCTATACAAACATAATTTGGTTCAAGGCTTTTACGTGCATCGTTTGGGACCAAATCTCACTTGCATGGGTATTCTTCGCCAACATTGCAACATCTCTATATATATATAATGATATATGCATGTATATCCATGGCCCCATATTTTACATCATGTTCTGTGAGAAAAAAAAAGAGGAATGGGATCTTTTCTGAATACTGTCTGGATGTCTGGTATCAATAACTTGCCGACTATTTGTATTTGTGCTACTGCTACAACATTACAGAGATCTGATGGCATTTCATTTAAATGAATTGTGACTCTTATGACCGCATAACCACGACGTCACCGCGACGTCGCCATAGATATGTTTAGGATTCACGGGAATCCTCATCCCCAAATGGAAGCGCTTCTATACAAGCTATAGCGGTATTTCCATGTTTACCAGGGTGGGCTTTGACTCAGTTTGTCAAATATCGGTGTCTTTATGTGTCTTTCTTAACGGCTAAGTTTGTCGTTTAGCATAGCTCTTCAATGGCATTTCCTGTTTTATTTTGTGTTGTGAGGCATGTCTGTTTGCGACTGCTACTAAAGTTCGCTAGACGCAGGGAAAAAGTCCCGACTGTGGAGTTCAGGGTTGGAGACGTGGTGATCTCCAAAGCTGCCAAGAGCTCATGTACGATGCGGAGGAAGCTCGTGTTGCAGGAATTTTGACTTGTTACCTCAAGCTCGACATCCCCGGCCAAAGGAGAAACCAACAAAAGTCCTAAGGACATGGGTCACCAGTGTGCCTTTGGCATCCACTGAAACTGATGGTGTCTCGAGCGAGCCAAGACGCTTTTAGTTGAGAAAGCGGAGAAGACCGCGGAGCTTTTTGGCAACGTAGATTACAACAGCAGATTAAGGGAATGCGTAAGCAACCTGTGCGATTCTTGCAGCGGATAGGGAAAACAAATTTAATCCATTACTGGCCGTGAGGCTGTTTGGCTTTTGAATTTCGTTCAACAAATTGAACACATATTGTTTCCGTAGCTGCCCATGTCCACTAATGTCGATAATCACTTGTAGTAAGAGATTTCTAGTGCCTCAGCAGTTCTCGCTTCATAGCTTGTCCTTATTTCTTCTACCCGCTGTCACAGAAATATAAGTTCCTCTGCGTTGTTCTCCCAGTGGGTGCACCAAATCAATTCATTGTCCAAATTTCAGCCTCAAAGATCCTCAAAGCACTTTACCAGTTCCATTAGTTCCATTGAAATCATTGGTGTTCCACCAGTTCCATTGAGTATTTCCATTAGTTCCATTAGATCCATGAAATTTACTTCCATTGAAGCATATGTGTGTTTTATGTTTTCTAAGGAACTAATGGAACTAATGGAACTAATAAAACATATATTCCATAAGTTCCTTGTTTCATGTTTTCTGCCACCGATGTGTCTTAACCAAGGGTTGGACATCGGCTACATCGCTCCCATCTTGGAATGTTGGTCCTTCAAGCGTGACGTGGCGCATCTCGACGACGAAACTGCAAAGATCGGCAGTTTGACGGCCGGCTTCATCGAGCCTTGGCATGGCGGGGCTGTGCAAAGGCATGATACATTTGACACATTGAACCATCAACAAATGGGTCTATCTGAAAATGGGACCAGTTATGTTTGTCGGTTTATGAATATAACTATCGTAATAAGCACAATAATAAACAAGAGTAATTGGAGGTATAAAGCGACTTAGCTATCTTGGCGAACCCACTTTGTATAGATATAATATAATAATATGATATAATTTGGGTGAAATACAACGACCTCACTGTGACGTGTAATGGTGGTTGATATATATATATATATATACCTCAAAAATTATAACCTGGGTTTGGGGTTGAACGTGATCCAAATGTGGGGTGTTGGCGGGCGGAAAAGGTGATGTTGAGTTTTTTTTCCAGCCAATTGGGAAATGAGTCTTGTATCAGAAAAGGTTGTGGCCTTTACAAGCAGCACAGGTCTGTATTTTTGATAGAAACAACAATGGGAACACACAGGGCACTGTTTAGTTTAGACATGTTTAAGGCATTTTTTGAGATTATAGTCTAGTGTATACTGTTTTGTCATTGTATATCGACAGGGGAATGTTTTGTGGTTTCAAATAGCTACGGTTAAGCAATGACTTACCCATTGGATCCCATTGGGATGATCTGATGCTTCCGCAAAGGTCAGCATTTTTTCGCTTGGCTGCATTGGCGCATCATTTCCTCTTGTGAGCTGCTTGGTGGACGATTAGTCGCTGAGGCAGTGGCATGGGAAAGCCACAAGTATTGTAGATGTTGCAGATGTTGTTCTTATCAAGGGATTTGTTGTAAGCGTAAGTGGATGATATTCTTTGCCATCTTGGTTTGGCTCGCTCCTTAATTAACCTTGTTGGTTTAGGCTAGGCGGCTAGTCACTTGGAAGTCCACCCGGCGCACGGACACACACCTCCGCCCTGCCGAGCAAGGCACATATTTCTTGGACTCGTGGGGTCGCAAGGATTCCATCATGTTGCTTGTTTGCACCATGGGTTGGTTTGGATTTTGTGGTTAATGGCGGGGGGGTGCCAGGCTGCCAGCATTGAGGAATGAATAGAACCAATGAGTATCCGACTTTGTGTTTTGTCTAATAGAAAATTGCCAAAAGCTATCAATGTTTCTGGAACTGTCCCATCTGCTAGTCATGACGTCCAAATTCGTAGGAACATCAACACGCTAAGTAGAGATCCAAGAGTCGCATGGATATCGGTAGTGACTCACCGGGCACGGCCCAGTTGTTGCTTCGCATTAACTCCTGACGTCGTATGGTTGACAAGTTGATACAAGATCTATCGCCCATGAAAATCAACTACATTTGCCATGTTTAAATTATATCATTATATATATATCATTATATCATCATACATTTGCCATAATAAGTTGATATGCAGTTATACCTGGGTAATCCTGGGTAAACCTTGGCATGCGAAAGATATACTTCTATGGGTTGATTTTCTGGGATGTGCAAGCCCCATTGTTTGCAGGAGCATGCAATATCCAAAATAAACCGTTTCCAGGTGTCCCTTCTTTATTGGTCGCAAAAACCCCAGGTTGGCGGTTGGCGGATCAAATTTCAACTGCACGGTTCATATCCATCATGGCATGAAGGTTCATATTATCCCAAACATGTCTCCAAATTCCAGACCAAGAAGAAGTCATCCTCAAGCAGCGGCCTTTGTAGTGGCTTTCTGTTGGTGCAGAATTTGAGGCTCGGCACCTTGGTCTTTCTGCTGGGCTGTTGGCTCCAAGCACGTACCTCGGGAGTGCGGCTGGTGGGACTATCGATAGTTTTTACCATTTTACCAACAAAAACAGGGTGATTTGACCATGAAATCTGTTTTTGTGAAGTCCCCACAACCATTTTTTACCATTTTACTATTCACAAAGAAATGTGACATCGTTTCGTGTAGACCACAAAGACCCATTACATCCGGCGCCCGGAGATGGTCAAAACTGGTACCCGGGTGGTTGGAATGGATGGCTAGTCCCAATATGGTACCTATATGAGAATAATATAGGATAATATAGGATTTACATGGATTTATGAGGTATCCCCATATATTCATTATATATTAATTTTATATATCATTATCATAAACATCCCGTCAGATGTGCATGTGACGCAAGTTAACATGAACGTTAACATCCCCACCCCCCCAACCAAGTGACGTAACGTCACATGTGCATGTGACGCAAGTTAACATGAACGTTAACATCCCCACCCCCCCAACCCAGTGACGTAACGTCAGATGTGCATGTGACGCAAGTTAACATGAACGTTAACATCCCCACCCCCCAACCCAGTGACGTAGATGTGCACGCAAGTAACATGAACGTCATCCCCACCCCCCCAACCCGTGACGTAACGTCAGCATGTGACGCAAGTTAACATGAACGTTAACATCCCCACCCCCCCAACCCAGTGACGTAACGTCAGATGTGCATGTGACGCAAGTTAACATGAACGTTAGCATCCCCACCCCCCCCAACCCAGTGACGTAACGTCAGATGTGCATGTGACGCAAGTTAACATGAACGTTAACATCCCCACCCCCCCAACCCAGTGACGTAACGTCAGATGTGCATGTGACGCAAGTTAACATGAACGTTAGCATCCCCACCCCCCCGAACCCAGTGACGTAACGTCAGATGTGCATGTACCGGATAAAAAATGTGTGTTTTCAAAAACGGTCAAAACGCTGGCGCGGTTTTCCCCCCGCTGGCAAAAACATATACCTTGATATATTTTGTTGGCATGATCCGTTCCCATGAATATTTTCCAGTACGGATTATAGGTTCACAGAGGGGAGTTTCATATACACATTGACATGATTTTGTCAAAGAGGGTGATGAACCATCCGCTTCCATCTAGTCATTTGTTCAGTCAATTCCGAATGTAACATGTTTGTCTTCATGCATACATGTTCATCCTTGGATTTGTATATATATATATACATATACATATATACAAATACATATATATATATGTATTTGCATAGTTTTGGTTTTCTTATACCACGTCCACTTCATGTTTTTTCTGACTTTCAGAACGGTCTAGTAGTTTAGATGTGTTTGATTGTATATATACAATATTGGGGTGGTCTGAACATGGGGTAAGCCCAAAATCAGATGGCAGATTCTGGTTGGTTCCTTCAGTTTCTTGCGATGGAAAATCACCAGCCGACCAGTAAAATATTATTACTTTTTGTGGATTGCCAAAGATTGACCATGATAATATGTATGTAGTGCATATATATAATATATATATATATATATTTGTATAATATATCTAATATATCCCTAATATATATATATATATATATATATTTATATCATATATATATATATATCACATATATATATATATATAAAGATTGTGTAGATTGTTTTTCATTTATTTCTAGTCTCAGGTGCCATGTCCATCTGGATGATGTGCCTGGGCCGTTTGGTCAGCGGTTGCGCCATCGGTTTGCTGAGCACCACGGTGGCCCTGTACCAGAGCGAGGTGGCACCGGCACAGATGCGGGGCGGCCTGACGTCGCTGTAGCTTGGTTAATAAACCTGGTGATAGTAAGTCCCCTAAGTAAGTAGGTTTATTCCATTTATAAGTGGGTTATAACTAAGGTTATTAATCACTTACTAAGTGGGATGATCCTCCAGGTAGGGATTTTGGGGTTCATCAAATAAAAAATGGGTATGAATGATATATGAATGGGAGTATCAATGATATGACAATATAGCAATTCGAGTACGAAATGACATTTCCAATGGTTAAATCCCTATGAGATTTCCCCTCCTGTGATTCAGTGATTCATAGGGATTGAACCATGGTGATGTTCCCATGTTGCATTTTGTTACCAAGGTGCTAAAGTCAGCTGTGGATGAATAAACCTGGGTTGATGCTTAAGCACTTTGCAAGAGGGGATGTGTAAAGGGCAAAACATTGTTTGCGGCGTCGATGTGGGAGGATGGTAAGAAGCGAATGCAGTACTCAAATGCGCATCTTTGTGCAAACCACTTTGGGAAACCCCATTTTTCAATTGTCATGTTAAGAATAGCCGTGTGGGAAACGTGATCCCAATGAATGTTGATGGTCATATTTGTTCAATGCACACTTGAAAATGAACAAAGATGCTCTTCAGGCCTAGAGTGGCAGATGTTCCAAGGTTGTTGTGGGTAAGTTCCTTGGTTTGTTGTTCCAAAGCCACAGCTCAAAAAAACACAGAAAAAGAATAAACTTCTCATGATCCATCGGCACCAACTAAGCCGCTCCGGTGGAATCCCACTACGCCCTGATTGAATCAGCGTCAGATGCCAATCTTGGCTTCACCCAATATGTGTTGATGTTCCTTATCCTGATTTAATCCCATGAAATCCAATCACATTACCCTCTGGTTATGTCAAAATAGCTATTGAAAATGGCTCATTAACAGTTGATTTACCTATTCATACCAATGTCTACCACACGAGGTATCAGTTCATGATCACAGCTGGTATCTTAGCAGCGGCTGCCGCGGACGTGTTTTTAGTGGAGTTGGAAGATGGCTGGAGATATGCAATCTGCTTGCAGGTAGCCGCTGAACATGTAGGGATTCAAGCAGCAAACATGGGAGGATTTGGGTGATTTGTATAACCAGCAAAAATTGTGTTCTTTTTAATGACAAGAGTGGTGATTTTTCAGCACTAAATCCATGTGGTTTAAGAAAAAAACATTTGGGGAGATGGATGTCGTGATTTCACCTACTCGGATGGGTTTACTCGGAGATTCATGGGGATTTCAAGGGGATATATGGTAATTCGCACCAGTAAAAATTGCTTAAATTTAAGAGTGAACATGTTGACTCATGTTGACTCAATGGATAAATCGGATGTTCTATTTTCAGACAAACCCATTTCAGACCCCACGAAATCAACAAATTTTGGATGTGGATAGGTTGGATGATTTCGGTGGTATTTTGGCTGGTATGTTCATTTCTTCTTTGCAATTCTTTGCCATTCCTCACCTCCAGTTTCTGCAAAACAACAAATCCAAACACCATCCAAATACAAGCCTGAAATACCATCCTTCAGAATGGTTTCTGCCAGATTTTCAATGTTTAAACCATGCTTAACTCTTGCCGTTTGGGGGTCCCAGTCGGTGTTCGCGCGTTCGTCACAGCGCCAGGTGCTACCTGCTCTGGTCCTTCTGGGTGGTATGCTCTGCTTGCCTCGTTCACCTCGATGGTTGGTGCAGCAGGGCCGATCCGATGAAGCTCTGTGACACGGTGATCAATGGGTTTATCATGCCATGGGCTGATTTCACTGAGTTATACCTGGTATTTCGCGCCATAACTGTGAAATCTCATGAAATCTTGTGAAATCTCATGAACATATGAATTCTTACTTGGAAATTATGATAAAATCCCATTCCATCCACTGGGTGTCCCTATTCTTTGATGGCCATTTGTTGGATCATAATTGGTCAGGTATCCCGTATTATGAGACACATCCACAGAGAGGTCCAGTGAAGCTGGATACAGGTGCCTTCAAATAGATGTTTTGTTCGGAAAATGTGTAATTATATATATATATATGGGTATGGATCAATACCTATACATACCATTTTTAGTGGGATGAACATCCATTTACCAGCTATTTTGATGTTCACCAGGGGTACAAGGTTTTGACACACTGCCATATATTTGAAAAGTTAGAGATAGAATTAGAATGCCAAATGCCAGATCAATCAACCAGGATGTCTGAGTTAGACAAAAAATGGATCCCTTGATACAGAATTTCCAACCACTGACATTATATATTGGAATCAATTGGCTGCAGTTCCCTTCAAGTCTTTATTTTTCTCAGTTAAGCCTTGAGTTTGTGTGGCTTTGTTTTGGGACCCAACTTGAAACATCTTGAAACCAGGTTTTCTTCGGGCCCCGCCCAGGTCGGCTTTGCTTCAATTGCGGGACGAAAGGTCTGCTCGAGAGGACGGCGAGTCAGGGTCCCCTTCATTTTTGTGGGTCAAAATGCACCCAATTTTACGCTCTGGTCCCTCCGGCTATTTAACGTAGCTATGGAAAATCACCGTTTTTTGAGGTAAATATAGGGAACCCCTCCATAAATAGACCTTTTTCCATAGCTAAGTTGAATAACCAGAAGGTAAGCCGCGAATAAATTAAGAAAGTGAGGGAACTGGGGGTTGCCATGTTCACTCCATAGCTTCTTCTTCAGATGCTTGTTTTCAAACAACTATTTGCAGAATTTTGCAGAGACCAGGCTTGCACGTGGTACTCAACGTCAAACTCAGATCGCCCCAAACCATTTTGAAGGATGAAACCGAGGATCAGCCTACTGACTGCAGTGAATTGAGACAGATCATAGTGAACATCGTTGGCATCCAAGGATCCATTGCTTTTTTTTCCATCAGATTCCCTCGAAACTGCTGGTATTTGTGGGTTGCAGCCCTATGCCTCGCACCTCAACCTGGGGGGGATGACTAACCCTGGGAGTGTGGGGCTGCATCATGTCACTGGTCCATCCTATAGATATTTCATGGTCATGTAACAAAAACCCTGCTTAGAAGTGCCCATAGATCATATGAATCAGATTAAATCAGCCATTTCTAAAGGGGACATTTTTTTCTCCACCTCAGGAGCTGAAGGAAATCGTGGCCAACTGGGAGGCCATCGGCCACGGAGGAACCTGGAGCGATATGCCCCGGAGCACCAAACGCGTGCTGGCGGTGGGCGTCACCATGTGCCTGGGATGAGAGTAAAAGGCTGGTTGTAGGCTGTCTGAATAGATCAAAGGAAAGATTGTTGGGTTGTATATATATATATATACGTACACACTAAATATATACATATACATATATATATAATTATATATAATGTGTTATATATATAATGTGTATATCATTGTATGTATAGTACAGACTAGTAGGTTTCACCAATTTCTGATGAAACCAATAAGATCCAATGAGCATGAAGCAGATAGAAAAGCGACTGAGGCAACTGCTTCAGCAGCTGGTGGGCCACTTGGCACAGTTTGGCGCCAGAGGACATGTATGGAAACTTCACATGGAACGCCAAAGTGGCCATGATTCGCTAGGAAAATCATCTTCCAAACTTCCAAACCTATGTGAATTTTGGATGGGTGCATCATTGTTTGGGGATGGAGAGAGACCAAAGAAGTTTGATTTTTGAGTTGAACAGGGCCATATATGTTTTCCAAGGGCTACTTTTTTTTCCAGGATCCCTTGCGCAGTTTATGGTTTTTTTTATATCAACGACCTGGGAGGCTTCACCGAAGTGCTCAACCGACGGGATGGAAGACGATTGAAGTGGAATACTCCAAGAAGACAGTAGTGCAACCCAACTTTTTTCAATCCCACCATTTGGGGATGGTTGATGTTGATGCCACCATATGCCATTGATATCCATTGATCCTGATTTTGGGGATTATCGTCCAAGTCTCCGGCGGGTCATCGATGGCCAAGGAATGAACGCCTTCATGTACTTCGGCCCACGCATTTTCCATTCCCTTCACTTGAACGCCCCTCGGCACGACACCTGAAAAAAGGGGTTGCCACAGATGGATCGATATTAAACAGGAACCCACCACAATTTTTCTTTATAAAAGGAATGCTTGACATGTTCTCAGTTGTCTAGGTAAACGTCCCAGCCGGGGCAAGCGGTTCTGTTCCTTTTTTTGTGGGTGTGAACCGCGGGGAAACCTGTTTCGGCCATGGAAGGGCAGGGCTTTAGTGGCAAAGGAGCTGATATCCGTGTATGCGTTTGATGAGATCCACACGAGTTCTACTGAAATCTGTTGCTTGCCTGAATTCCCATGTTTCTTGCTACAATCCCCAGTCAAACAATCAGGGTACCAGTAAAAAACTCTGATCTCACTGATATCATCCATGTATATCCATCTATATCTTCTAAAAGTGGATGCACTTGGCTTAGAGGAGCACGAACATTTTTTCGCTTGTTGGGAGCACTCAGGAAAACAAGTTTCAGGCAATGAACAATGCTGTGAACTGTTTGGCGACCTTGCCTGCCCTCTGTTTGGCCGATCGCTGCTGGGACCAGATTTGACAAAACCATCGGCGCACTGAGACGTGGATTCGTGCACCCAGATGTTTCATAAAAATTCGTAGACACTGCAATAATCTTAGATACATAGATGCATACTTCAATATACTTCATAGAGATACATGCCTTATAGGTACATACATTCATAGATTCATACATATAGATACATATTTTATAGATTCATAGCTACATTGATACGTCATAGATACGTCCGGTGTCACGCTATCACAGCCCTGAAAAATGTCACGCGACGACCAGGTTGCGGGCGCAGATGTTTGTTGATCTGGGGAGCTGTTGGCATGACCATCTCGTGTTGCATCATGGCGGTAGTGGGGCTCGCAAAAGATGAAGGTGCATCGGGGCTGTGAAGGTTTCTGCAGGAATCCTCTCTGTTTGTGGCACGTGACCATCCAAAATGAACATCATATAGTTTTACATTATATATATATATGCATATCTTAGATTATATATACACAATGTATCTGTTTTGAAGCATATACTTGGATATCAACTTGAAAATTCTGTCCGTCAAAGGGAATATGTTGGTTTCACCCGCAGATTGAAACTCATTCAGGGAATTTCATAGCACATTTGTTTACAGTCATAGCTATATGTTGGCTAGTCATAAGTGATTTTGGAGCGAACTGGTGCTGTGACAAATGATGGTTTAGAGGAAACTACCTGGTATTGTTGATGACATATGCCTTGTAACATGTTTGGTCTCATACCATTCATTTCCCTCAATGTTCCTTTCATTTGTTCTACGAAAATCCGCAAAAA